CGTATTTATGACGTCTTTGATCTGTGACATATTGCCGTCATAATCACGTCACCAGCACGTCCTAAATTTGGTGATTTTGACGTAAAATGTGACGTGTATTTAACGTGAAAATCACGTGTCTGTACTAGCTGGGGAGTAGACTTTTCAGCCCTTTTTAATTTTTGTTTATACCTCAGCTTTTTTTCTTCTTGCTACGTAGTTTTTTCTGTAAATCTTTCAATTTCTTAGTAAGTTTTTGCAGGTTTCTTCTTCTTTTAACCGTCCATCGCGAGTTCTGCCATTTTTATTTTGATTTAAAGGTTCAGCTTGATTTTCAAGCAGGGTAGGAGTTGGAGGTTGTGTTTCTGCAGAGTTTTTTTAACAGGTTTTGTGTTTGCTTTTAGTGATAGTGTTTTAGCTCATTGGATTGCATTTATTATGCAAATGAAACTTTAATCCGTATTAAATCTCCATGTTATTTAGATAAATGCTTTTATGATATTAAAGTGCGTACGGCGTATTTAAAATTAGCTTATGTTTTGTTTAGTTATAATAATAATAACGGGTCTTTATTTGCACAAAATAATTACATTTTTGTACAGTTAGCATGGGCGAGGTTTAGCCTGTGGCTATTCTTACACCTAACCCTAACAAAACATATACATTTAAATAACTATAATATTAAAAGTTTATCAATACAATTTGACATTAGCAGCTCATTATATCTACCAGTTTACATTTGACTAATAAAGAGTTGCCTTTTTAAAGCATTTTTAAAAACAGGTAGAGATCGTGATTTTTTAATATCAGTATGTAAAGTGTTGTACAGAACAACTGCGTTATACGACAAACTACGATTATATCCGTGGTATCAACATCGAGATGGCGGTCTCAGAATTGGAAGTCAAGTTTGTATGTTTCCGAAAAAATCTTTAACAAAATCGGTCATCGAGAAGTGAATATTGTCTTATGTGTTTAGTATTTGTGCGTTAAATTTTTTTTGAATTTGTATGTAAATGATATAAAGTGAATATAGCTAATAAATTAAATTAATATGATAGAGAACACGTTCTCAAGTTTATGATCCAGTTAGTAGAATATCAGCTCCTGATGTTTTAAATTAGTATAATCAATGGAAAAGAGTGAACATGGATTTTTCAGTGGGAAGATGGAAAATTCCAGACGTTCTTTAATGAATATTCCCGTAATTATATAAGCTAAATTACCTGCTCTGGCTAAATACCTTAAGGGTGGAGGCCAAAAAACTAACAGAAGAAGAAGAACTACGATTATAAATAGCACTAGAGTGACGAGGCATTGATAAATTAAAATTGTTTCTTATGTTTACATTGTGCGTAGACGATCTAAAAGTTAATTGGCTCATAAGATATAATGGTGACGCAGTAGAAAGAATTTTAAAAAGAAAAGAAAGGAACATAAATATATATAAATTATTAACAGTTAGCCAGCCAGTTTGGGAGAAGGCTTGGGAAATATGATCGAATTTTCTAAGTCCTTTTGCGAATCTGCAGCATGTATTCTGCATAATTTGCAAACGGTTACGATCAGCAGCTGTTAAACAAGGATAATACACAACAATTCCATATAATATTTTTGAAATTACAAGGCTTTGGCAAAGTTTTAGTTTTATAGATTGGTTCTGTAGGATGTGTTTATTAGAATAAAGCAAGCGAAGACTACTATAACACTTTTGTAACACATAGTTGACATGTTGACTGAACCTCATTTGATCGTCAAAGTATAACCCTAAATTTATAGACTCAGTTTCATGTGGAATAGATTCACCAGATATCATCAGAGTTGTATTGTTCTTTATATATTGTCTAATATTTTTACTACAGAATAATAATAGTTTGGATTTCGAAGCATTAATGTGAAGGTTATGATCAGACGAATAGTTATCAATTTTTTTAAGATCTTGATTAATCTTATCAACTGCAGTAATGACTTCATTCGACGAAAAATCGAGGAACAGCTGAGTGTCATCAGCAAAAAATTGGACTGCACTATTATTTACGTGTTTGTAGAAATCTGAAGTATAGAGTAAGAAAAGCAGGGGCCCTAGGACTGAACCTTGTGGTACACCAGATTTGATTTGAATGGATGTTGATTTCTGACCGTTTACTGTAACTAACTGTGATCGTTTACTTAAGTATGTTTTTATGAAACCTAATGAAATTCTATCAAATCCATAATATTGACACTTGGATATAAGAAGACTATGATTAATGGTGTCAAACGCTTTGCTAAAATCTAGTAGAACTAGGACACCTGCTTTTTTCTTATCAATACTATTGAAAATATTGTCACTTAAATGTGCCAAAGCTGTTGAAGTACTGAAACCTTTTTGAAAACCCGACTGATGCAAAGGGATTATATTATTTTCACAAAGATATTCGTATATTTGGAAATAGGCTGCACGTTCAAGAATTTTTGAAATTAGAGGCAGTAGACTTATTGGACGCAGTTAATTGTATGAACTAGGATTGTGCTTTTTAGGTAAGGGTATTATCAAAGCTTGTCTCCAACATTCTGGGAAATATCCTTGTTCTAAACATAAGTTTATAATATGTAGCAGATAAACATCAATAATATTTAGACACAATTTTAACATTGACATGTTTATATTGTCATTACCACCAGCATTTGATTTTATATTCAAAATGATAGTGTAGAGTTGAGATAGTGTTATTGTTTTGAAGTGAAATTTAATATCTCTACTAAAGGAGTTACTTCTATAAAATAAAATTGAATCCAAGCATCTTTCATTACTGTCTTGGAACACAGAGGAAAAATATTCATTAATTTTAAAAGGATTGGAAAGTGAGGAAGGTAAATCGATATTTTTTGTCGATTGAATTTTCATTTGTTTTAGCGCTTTGTAAAATTTAGAAGACGACTGGTTGTTTAAAAATTCTAGATACGCAGATTTTTCTCGTCTCAAGGATGCTAAAGCAAAGTTGCGAAGTCTTTTGTAATTGTTCCGGTTTTCAGTGGATTTATTTAATTTAAATTTTTTTAGGGCAGTATCTCGTTCTGTAAATATGAGTTTTAATGTAGGAGTTAACCAAGGTGCTTTAGGTTTACTTATTCTAGCTGTTCGAAAAGGAGCGTGTTCATCGAAAATTGTAGTTGGCTTTGGTATGATTTAATTGTTTCGATCTAGTAGGATACTGTCATGGCTGTTAGTTATTATAATTGTTGTAAAATATTAAAAATCGATTAAATGAAAATGCCGCGGCACAACAATTTTACTAATCTTGAAATGCGACACGAGCTCTGTGTTTAAGCAATTTAACTTTAAATTTGACAGGTCACACGACAACTTGAACCAATTAGGCATTCCAACGACCTATCCAAATGGCTACCAGTGGGTAATGACAGTTTAGATATGGCAACCCTGTTGTCATGTTGTCATTAACAGGGTCAATGATACATATATAGTTATATAGTTTGCTCAAAGCTGGTCGTTTACGAGCTGCCATATTGCCTGGCAAATATTTATTAATTTGAATCGGTTTAGCAAAAATGTCTTTTAAAACAAATTTTTAGCCTTTAGATATTTAAAAAAAAATAATTGCTTACATTTTTACTTCAAGACATACGCTTATGTTTATTTTGAAAAATATGGATAATCAATCTATGTAACTATCTATTTCATTGGCCTTGTCAAATCACCAGGTCTACAGGGTTGTCATAATTTTGCAATATCATAACCCGTCAAAGCCCACTGGTAGGCATTTAGTTTGGAATGCCTAATAGACCTTTTCATCATGTGATGAGCGAAAGCGCAGCCACCATGTTGAAATAGCGGTAATTCAAAAGTTTCGTACTGTTTTGATCGACAATGGCTGGGAAAGCCATGTTATCTCTACAGAAAAATTAATCATTAGAAAAAATCGTTGATAGTGAATAACTTTTTTATAACTCTGTGGAAGCGCATAGTTGTGAGCAGTTGAAAAGGAGGTTGAAGTGTCTTGGATGTTTGTTACAAAGGAACAAAGTGGACTAATTGAGAGGTTAGGTGTATCAATACTTTTTAACTCTGTAAAAAATTAATGAAAACAAATAATAATTATAACTTTATTCTAATTAATTATGCCAACCAACTATTACTACTTGCAAAAACACTTTAATTAGCATGAAAGTTAATCACGAGTATAATTAATAAAATAAATTATTTATTATTTTGAGGATCAACATGACATTTTTAATCATTTAATGTGTATACCGAAGTAGTATTTAATATTAAAAAAATATTGTTTAATACCACATGAGAATTTTCTTCTGTTGGACCACTTTCTCCATGAAAATGCAGTGAAATATAAGTATCTTTAGTAACATCATTAATCCATCGAAAACCGTTGTCACTTCGACCATATTTTTTCACACTTAATGCACATTTCGAATATCTTTTAATATGGATTTTGCCTGATAATTGTTTACGATATTGCAGTTAAGGCTTTGGAAAATTTATAAAATAATATCTATTGCCTTTTTATGATTTATACCGTGTGTCACTTTTACATAACAACACTGTTTCGTTGTTCCTTTCCGTACAGATAACATAATTATAATTGATTGTGAAAATGTATTTTTCAATTAAGACACTAAACTTATTATTAGGTACTTTACTTTTTTCTTCCTTTTTTTAAATGAATATAGACTTAAATTAATATTTATCAATTATAATTTTTTTCACGTAAGTATTTTAACATACCTACTTGTTTACAAAAACAGTATGAAAAAGATGGCTGAAACTGACGCATGCGCACAAAAAAAAACATGACATGCCACTTTTTGCACACAAATGAGAGACTACTATTATACTGGAAGCATAGGTACAGAAAGAATAACTGGAAGCTATTAATTTACGAAATAAGCTGAACCAGTTTATCGCTTTTACGGTTCGCTGTTTACGATGAATAGTTTATGAATGGCTTGAACCGGAACGACAACGAAAGCAAAGCAGCGAGATTTATGAATGAAATAATTCATACCTCCAACTGTAGGATCCGTCCGCGTTCACACCTTCATTTTCGTATCTGACAATAGGAATTGGTTCACCTTGATGTTGTTGAGCAAATGAAATACCTATGATTGCAGACAAGGCGATGACCTACAAAAGAAAGTTACTTGTATTATTAAGGTATACAGTGTGTTTCAGGCCTGCGATCGTTAAATTTCAATGTTCTACACAAAAATTAGTACTTTTCTGTATGAATTTAAACCAACTAGAACATCGAATTTAGTTGCCTTGTATAATTTTAAATATAATACAGACAATTTATAAAATCCCTATGCTGCTACTTCATTATTAAATAATAATTGATAATACCGGTGTGAACTTGGTAGCCAAAAACTAGGGCCAATATCCCGAAGAAGCCCGAAAGATCAGTAGCGTCTTCAAAAAGGTTAAAACTTTAAAAATTGATATACAAGTAAATAATAATATTATAAACAATTTGAGACAAGTCTTATTTCTTTACGAAGGGTCTAAGTTGGTTGATCCAAGATCATTCATTATACATATCGGATGTAATAGACCGTCAGATAGTGACTGATTTAGGTGCCCCATGCATGCAAGCCTTGAAGAGGATTGAAAAGTACATCGATTTTGAGTAGAATGAAAGGAAATTTACGAATGGCCCCTGGGAATAACATATGGAAAATTCGATTTTCCTTAACAGAAATAAAAGGTGTTTTTTGCTTATTTTTTCCACGCAAGCCGTTTTCACTATATGATTAATTAATAGAACTAGTCTTCGGAAAAGGCTTTAATGTTGCAAGTGGCTAAAGGGTTGAAATGAGGGCGTAATCTTGTAAAGAAAAATCGATATGTTAACTGATTTTTCCACACAAGCCCGTCGATAGTATGAATACATACATCGTCACTAGCCCGAAAAATATATTGGTTTGAATGGCGCGAATGGATAAGTGCATTTTGGAGTCGGAAAAATTACCGCAAATTTGTTTTGTTTTTTGAGTTATTTTTTCATGCAAGCCCTTTTAACCACAGAATGTTATTAGTGTGTTAGACATAATAATAACATTGGCATGAGTATCGGATGTGGACGAAACGAAGGCTTGAGTCCGAAAGTTGCAGAAAAATTGTATGGAAAATGCCACCATTTTCCCACGCTAGCCGTTTGACATATGCTTAGAAAAAGTGATTCTAAGACTATATAAGAAAAGGCTTGAGTGTCGGACATGGTCATCATATTAATTATATATAATTTATTTATCAAAAACCTGACAAAAAAAGTTAATAAATTTCCACCATTTTCCCACACAAGCCTTTTGACATATGCTTAGAAAAAGTGATTCTAAGACTATATATAAAAAGGCTTGAGTGTTCGACATGGTCTTCATATTATTTATATAAAATTTATTTAAAAAATGCTGACAAGAAAATCTATAAATATCCACCATTTTTTCACACAATCCGTTTGGTATATGCTTGGAATCATTTATAATTCGCCATATAAAAAAAATAAAACTAAAACCTAAATATCACCCTAAATCATCTAAATATCGATTCTCAAAGTTATTTTATATTAATTTTATTATAAGAGTTGTCTCGTGGCCGGACTATTCAACGCCCAATTTTATTTTAAATGTTTATTAACTTAACGCCCTTTTAAATGATTGTAAAAATTCAAATATTTCAGTTCAGATTAACTAAATAATTGTATATCATAGTACGTACCAATTATTTAATTTGAAGAAAAATAACTAATGTAATGAACACAACAACCTGTAACTTCAATTTTACACAAAACAATAACGCACAATAATTATTTAATCTAATAACTTGTATAATTTGAAATAATGTCACATAATATCATAGGAACATCAATATTTTTTAATAGGGACCGTGCGTGAAATATAGAGGCAGCACTACTGCCGAACTTAGCCCTCTCTAGTGTTTAATTTTAGAATTAAATGGGGTAAACATTGCAAGTAAATAATGAAGGGTATTTTTTTAAATATTAAATATAGTTAAAAATAGATACCGGCCCGTACCAAACAATCGTGTACATGGTCAAAATGACGTAAAATGTGAAACATTATTAAAATCTGGACATGCATATACATTTTAAGCAAAAAGATTTAAATGGCTGTGACAATAAATTGTAAAGTTGTACCTTAAACAAGTGTATCCAATGTTAAAATATAGGTATTTAGTAACACTGAATTTAAAAGTATTACAATAACATTTAAAAAATGTAAATTAATAAAAAAGATTGATAATAATAATTATAAATCTTTTTAGCTTTATGTTAATCGAAATGTCATTCATCCACTGGCGTTTATGAGATGTTCAATGATACATATATTATAGATTGCTCACCCAACTATAAAAAAATTATGAAAAGCTGGTTGCACTGTGCCTTTCCTAGTGCTCACTAAATAGAGCCGTTCTAGCCCAAATGTGTTAAAATAAAATTTCAGCATTTTAATCTTTAGAAAAAGATAATAATTAAAGTTTTACTTCAAGACATGTCATTATGTATTTGGAAAGTTGAGTTTTCATGTAGTTAAATAATATTAAGAGATCTAAACAATTTTTATAACAGATGGATATAAATAATTTTAGACTACTATTTCAGAAACAATTCTACATAAAATACATAATTGCAATATGTAATACAATTTTGAAAAGGTAATGTAAACAATTTTGATATGAGGTATGAACAACTTTGGTAAGAGTTGTAATTGGACACTTATCTATTATTCTGAATAATGTTTAATGATAATGTCACTAAAAAAATTTACAAAAAATCACTGGATTTTTAATATTTTAAAGTTTGTTACAATCTCTTTTGACAGTAATTGCAATGTATTATTTGCTGCGTTTGAGAATCCACATCGGATGCATTTTTTACATCTCGAGCGTTTTTTTATCCACATCGGACACATCTGTCCCATTACATTTGCTGCGTTTGAGAATCCCATTGATCTGTATTATTTTACTGGATAGGATATAGCCCAATAAAAAACGTTCCGAAAAATTGGCCGATTTGGGCAAATAATATGGCGGACCGGATGTTATTTAACGTAACCTCTATTTCCATTTGTCATCACATTTGTCATTTAATTGTGTCAACAAGCTACGATGAGATGTTTTTATTGTAGAAAACAAAGTAAAAAGAGTATGAAATAAATAATAAACGTTCATTCCTGAAGATACAATATGCTTCACGTTTCCATTTTTATATTTTCTATCATAAAAAATCAAATCATGGGTGAATTTTCCCGAAGGACATCGCCCGCAAAAGGAATAGAAGAAGAATAAGAAGAAAAACTAATCAAATAATGGGTTAGGTATGTCAAATTATCCCAAATTTCAGTTCTGTGAACCCAACATAATTTGCCCAAATCGGCCAGCAATGTTGCACTTCCGGTCTCCTTGGTGGAACGGTTTTTTAGTATGTTAAATATAGCTTATATCCTATCCAGTAAAATAATACAGATCAGTGGAGAATCCACATCGGATGCATTTTTTACATCTCGAGCGTTTTTTTATCCACATCGGACACATCTGTCCCATTACATTTACGTATATTGAATCACGTGATCAAAGATTTTTTACATCTCAGATGCATCCGATGTGGATTCTCAAACGCAGCAATTTATGATTTGTTTATTTTAATAATAAATGAGAAATAGTTAATAAATTGTAAAGAGGGCCGTGATATTTTTGTCAAATTGGATATTCTTATTTCATAACATTCTACATTAGTTTTAATCAACAGAATAAACCATTATCTGTAAAATTATATTTATATAAAATGGTCATTTAAATATGTAAAAATCTTAATGACAAGAAAACACTAAAGATTCTAATTTTTCTGTAAATGATTTCTTTACAACTAAGTGCTCAAAATTGATACAAGCTAGATAAAAAGAAAACTTTGCCCAGTGAAATACGCTTTTCGTCGTCTGATTTACATAAGGATAAGCAATCTTTGTAATTATGTATATCATTGGGTGTGAGGCATAATTGTGCTCTGTGGAAATTTATAACATTTCTTTACTATCGAATGAAATCCAGGTTTCTAAAGTGATGTGTTTGTACATCCACGGATGCAACAAATTTTTTTGATATTGATATTACGAAAATAATTCGACTTCATTTTATTAATAAATATTAAACAATAAATGCCGTATAAAACATTAATAAATACCCCCCAAAAAGTTCACATTTTTGTCACCAGTTAGCGTTAAAGTCATGACGCACGGTCCCTATAGACTTCAAGAAAATCATTTTGATCTGTTAAAAGATTTATCTCATGACATTCTTGATTGCTTTAATATCTTATATAAATGCGATTTAAAATGGTTTCGAAGTGTCTATTCCATAGAATCCTTGATTGTCATCATTAAATTTTATACATACATTAATTTTAAAAAAATTCAAAAATATCTTTGTAACGAATCTGTTAATAGGGCCAAGTCCTTTCACCTCTGTTGAAAGTAACTACTTCTGATTAAACTATAGGAATAATGTTTGTTAATCTGTCAAGTAAACCTACATGTAACTTTACTCAGAGGTTAAAAGATCGACCCTTAACAGGTATTTTAAAGTTTATATTTAATAGCCCTTTGAAAGAATATATAAATTTTTCTATAAAATAAACATATTGTTAATTCAGCACTAAATTCATATTAAAATTTACTATACGAATAATCACCGAACAATAAATAATAATAATTTTGCTTAAATATTTATTTCTAAACTTTTTGGTCAGTTCTTTTTTAGATAAATAATATGCTCCATGTCCAATACCTTTTGTTATATCGTTTAAGAATTACTTTTTCTAAGCATATGAGAAACGGGTTGCGTGAGAAAATGGTGGAAATTTCTAGATTTTCTTGTCAGCTTTTTGTTGAATAAATTATAAAGATATAAATAATATGATGGCCATGTCCGACACTCAAGCCTTTTGTTATATAGTCTTAGAATCATCTTTTCTAAGCATATGTCAAATGGCTTGTGTGGGAAAATTGTGGAAATTTGCATACATTTTTCCAGCAACTTTCCTATGTTCTGAAAATATGAAGACCACGCTCTGCACTCAAGCCTTTATTTTTTTCTGGTCTCTTAAATTCATAAGTTTTTATTGCAAAAAATTTCGTTGATGGGAAAATAACTGAAAAATCGAAAAAAATGTCTGTTAAATGTTCCAACCTAAAAATGGACTTATCCACTCGCGCCACTCAAGCCAATATGTTTTTCGGACTAGTAACAATGTATGTTTTCATACTCTCGATTGGCTTGTGTGGAAAAATCGGTTTAAATATCGATTTTTCTTTACAAGATTACGCCCTTATTTCAACCCTTTAGCCACTTGCAACATTAAAGTCTTTGGTTTTTCGAAGCCTAGTTCTATTAATTAATCATATAGTGAAAATGGCTTGCGTGGAAAAATGACCAAAAAACACCTTTTTTTTTACTTTTCAACCCTCTTCGAGGCTTGCATGCGAAAATGGGGCAGTTAAATCAGTCACTATCTGATGGTCTATAACGCCAAAAGAACTAAAGAATATAATTAATCACTTGAAAAATAAACACTCAACAGGTGATGCTTCAGTAATGTGATGTTAAAATACATCAGCATCCATATAATACATCCGCTATGCTATATCCTCAATGAGTTTTTTAAATCTAGTATTTTTCCAATGCGATTAAAGACTGCTGTTGTAATACCTATTCACAAAAAAGGAGATCCTTCCCTAGTAGAAAATTATAGACCAATTAGTCTTTTATCTTGTATTTTCAAAGTTTTTGAAATTGCTATGTGTAACAGACTATTGCCATTTTTAGAAATAAATAATGTTATCACAAGTGCGCAGCATGGGTTTCAAAATGGTTAGTCAACTACAACAGCAGTCTTCAATTTTGTTGAGAGAATTTTACACTTTTTAGATTCGGGAAATATTGTTCACGGAGTTTTCTTAGATTTAACAAAGGCTTTTGATTGTGTGAATCACCATATACTTCTTAATAAATTATACAAAATGGGGGTGCGAAGTAATGCATATGACTGGTTTCAATCTTATGTTTCAAATAGGACACCACGGGTTTGTTTTAAATGTGACAATAGCGAATATTACTCTGAATCAAAAAATACTGTGCTGGGTGTTCCACAGGGAAGTGTCTTAGGACTCTTAGGTCCTATTTTATTTGTATTATATCTAAACGATTTACCAAAAATTTTTACAAATGATTCTGTAGCTCTCACTAGTTATGCTGATGACACAAATATCTTACTATCTAGAAACCATTACAAAGTACTTGAGAAAGATACCTCATATTCGGTAGAGAGAATTTCAAAATGGTTTGGTGAAAACTCGCTATTATTAAATCTATCTAAAACTAATTGCATACTTTTTAAGCACAGTCGTAATTTAAATGAATATCCAGAGGATATCAACTTATGTAATACATTACTAGAATATTCTAAATCGACAAAATTTCTCGGCGTAATAATTGATGAGCATCTAACTTAGGTGGAGCATCTACATTCACTTTATGGAAGGCTCAGTAGAGCTTACTTTGCATTGAAACAAGTTAAAAAAGTCGTAGATTATTCTTATCTTATATCAGTGTATTATGGTCTATTCTATTCTTTAATGTGCTATGGAATTATTTTTTTAGGGAGGGTCACACTGTCAAGAAGTCTTTGTAATACAAAAAAGAGCAATTCGAATATTAGCTAATCTAAAGTTTACAGAATCATGTAAAGGTCACTTTAAAAATCTAAATGTGTTGACAGTATATGCTAGTTACGCATATGAGTGTATTATGTTTGTGTATAAAAATCAAAGTATATTCAATGAATATATAGCAGACCACCTTCACAACGCAAGGTTTAGAAATAATTTTTGTCTACCGACGCATAGAACTACCCTACTGGAAAAGGGATGCTGTTACAAATGTTTGCAATTTTATAATATGCTTCCTGATTTTTTAAAAAATACTAAGAGTCTATCAGCTTTCAAAAATAAGGTCAAACAAATTTTGATTTCTACTGAACCTTACAGCTCAGATGATGTAAACGAAGTGATTGTAAGTAATTACTATTTGTAAATACTTTGTGAAATCAACAAAAATCTATAGTAGTTTTCAATAATTGTAATATAGGTTTTGCTGGGTTCCCCATATTTCTTAGCAAATGCACCACTATATTCATTTCTAAGTCACCCCAGTGTGCACTTTGTAGGTCATCAAACTAGTACAGATTATCCTGGCTTCTGACTTATACCATACAATTTTATATGTATTTTTTTTCTAGGGGCGTTTTTTATCCACTTTGTATATAAAATGGGTAATAATTTTCCATATTTGATACTACGGTAAAAAAACTATTTTAAATAATTAGATCAATAGTATCTTGCTTTAAAACTTATTCCTACTTATCTAATATAATTTTCCCATTTTTAACAATGGCAAAAAGGTTTTTTTATCAAACCATCTTAAAAACTCACATGTACAACACATTTCACTAATCAATTAATTACACGCTATAATAACCATTTCACATGATATTTAATACCTACCAAATACATTTTGACTGTTGATTTGTCTTTTCGAACAATAACTAACCCCATTTTCTGCCGAAACTTATTTATACCTACTTCTAATACTCTCCCTCACTTATCTCAAAATGACGATGCATTAATATCGTCATAACAAATTACATGCAAGTTTCGATTAAATAATAAGAAATGTGCATTCGCGTTCGCGTGAACTTTAAGATTTTATTGTCGAAATCGTCAAAACGGGATTGAAGAGGAAGAAATGAAGGCGTCAGTACAATGACCTCCTTCAGTAACTCCTCGACAGTCTAGCAGATTAGTAAAATAATTGTTAAGTTACCTAGAGACACGAATTATGTGTTAATTTTAATATTTTACACACACAACGGATTCGGTAATTTGGCTGCAACAAATCAGAAGTTTGTAAAACTGAAAGTCTAGTTCCAATACGCAAGAAAAGTATTTATTTGGCTTTAGAGTAAAGCATGCAAGGGTTTCGTAGTACCCCAATTTCAAAGTTTATTTTTTATGTGCGTCTAGATAAAGGTTAAATCTGTGCTTCTCTAGAGACATTTGAATCTGTTTTTTCTAAAAAAAAATACAAAACTCGACATTTTTTAATAATTTTCTCATTTTTTTTTTTTAGAAAAAACTAAATTGAATTTTGAAAAAGTGGTTCCAGAGGTGCATAGATTTAACCTTTACCTACACGTAAATATTTTTTTCTTTTAAAAATAGTCAAAAATAAACTTTAAAAGTGGGGTACTACGAAATCCTTACATTGCTAAATTTTTCTTCTGGAAAGTGACGCCTCTGTTAGATTATTAAGAAATTAATATTTGTGAATGAAAACAATTTATAATATATTTTACTACGAGGGCTAAATAAATTTTACGTATTTGTACACCTTATTGGTTTACGTAAATCATTTCTGTAATATTAAGATCGACATATATATTATGCAAGGGTTTTATAGTATACCAATTTTACGGATTATTTATTTTTACTACTATACTAGAAGAAAAATTATGTAAGCATAGGTGAAGGCTCAACCCGTACCCGTCTGGAGTCACTTTTTGAACATATGAATCGATTTATTTTGAAAATATCTAATAACATGTCTTTCTAACGAAAAGAAATCCAAATAAAATCCATGAGGAAGCAATATATTTAATTTTTACCTACAGGAGCATTTATTTATCTCCAAAAAAATACGTTAAAAGCTTTTTCGTCTAGAGGGTGATACCAACAAAATGTATATCCATTTTTTTCCTTTACAAGTGAAAAACAGTACGCAAGTGATTTGAATTTATTTTGTTTCATGTCTGTGTGTGTATGTATTTCTGTTTGGCACTGGTTTCAAAACCAACTGGCCAGTTAATCTTTAATTAATTTTAATTAAGTTTATTTTGTGTTAACTCAATTAAAATATTACATATTTCTCTAAATACATTAATAAGAAGTAAGTCCTATAATAGTTTTTTTCTATGTTTTTTGCTTGTTTTTGATTTTTGCGCCTGTTTTTGTTTTTTGCTTGTTTTGTTTCTGTTTTTTTGTTTTTGTTTTTTTTTGCTTGTTTTTTTTATTTATTTTTGTTATATTATTTTTTATTTTTGTACATATTTTAATTATTTTCGACAGAGCTTTAAATTTAAAGAATTTATATGATTATAAATAATTTTGCATGCATCGAGATTCTTGAGCGCGAAAAGATGTGACAAATTAATAGGTAGTTGGACATTATGTTGAATAAGTTTGGTATATAGATTTGATATGTCAATATCATTTAAAATACATTATAAAAGTAAATATTGTAAATCGGCTATCTCGTCATTCATGATGCATTCATCATTGTCTACCAATCCCATTCTTCTTTTATAATTTAGAGTCAAGCAATGATTACTTCTAATTCTGCAAGACGTTCTAATAAAACTTCTGTTCCTGAATTTGCTAAACCATAGTATGGAGGGTCTCTTGCTTTGAATGTTTTTAAAAACATACTGGCTAACCGACCGCCGGCGGTGCTTGCATTTGTTGAAAATAAAACCGTCTTCCGGCGGCATATGGTCAGGAAAGCTGCCGCAAATCTAAACTGATTTGTTGATCAGGGCGGCATGCTATCAGTGAATTGAAAAATACCGCCGGATGACGATCTACTGTATTTAAAACATTGTATGCCGGTGGTAAGAAAAAATACTTGTAAAAACGTCTACATTTTTGTGGCAAATGATTATATCGTACGCGTTTTATTTGTACATCGGTCTCCTTTTGACAGAGTAGATGAGCTGTGTCCAGGCCGTTGGTGTTTATGCCGGTCGACGTAGCCAGGTATAGATTTAAATTTTATGTTGGCCACCCTACGAGAAGTCGTTACTTCGTCTTCTTGTTGTCACGACATTATTATTATTATTATTATTATTATGTTTATAAAATACTACTGCTAGTGACGGCGTAAATAAAAACAAACAAGACGCATTCACAAATGATAAGTGGTGTCCCCGATACGCCAATTTTTTCCGGCGGTATTTAATGTTTCAAATAGAGTAGACCGTCGTCCGGCGACCTTATTAAGGGCGGGCGTGGGCAATGTATTTAACATAGGCATACACAACGCTCTTTCAATGACTTTTTAGCTGAAACTACAACAAAGAGAAAAGTGAAAAAATTCCTGCCGATAATAGATATATACTACTGTTCAATAAAGGTTTTTGGTGTCTCTAATTATCAGGGATCGTTTAAAAATAATTCCCAAAATATGGTAATTTTTACGATGAAATAAAGCTAAAAATATACCAGTAATAATTAACCGATGATGAAAATAATTCTTCTTTGAATAGGCTATATACTAAAGCAACAAATGTCGTTTAAAATATTTAAATTAATTGCGTCAATTTCCTTAAAAGCTCATTGAAGTAAATTTTGGAAGAAATTATAAATCGCCATTTATATGTAAAAATTGCATAGAATATAAAAGAAAACTTCTTAAAATTGCATACAAGTAGCCACAGGTTAATTCAGAGCTTCTCTAATAGATGGCGCTAAAGTCGACTCGAAATAAATTCAAATACACAGGTTCTTATTTAGGAGTTTACTAATTAATATGCATATTATTTCAATTATTAAACATATTTAATATTTGCGTAAGAGCATGAAGGATATGTCAGTAATGAGAGAAAGCCTCTTTGAGATATTGATTTTACGTTTTGTGGTCCGGAAAATGTCTGTACGGAAGTGGTAAAAATTTAGAAAAACGACTGAACGGCCTCTTAGCAAAAATCGATTGCTTGCTTATTTTGTTGGATATCGGAGCCAGAGTGTTAATGGTGCCTTTAGTTGTTTTATAAAATTGAATATTTCAAATAATTACACAAATCTAATATGCTTAAATGTATTTTTTTTTCAAATTAGGTTTTAACTTTCATGTATCCAGTAAAATATAGGATTGTTTTTTTTTTTCGACTTCTAGTTTTCAACTGTACTTTAGGTTTCGACGATAATTCAAAAATGAATAAACAGTAAATTTTAAACTTCAAATTTAATCTAATAAAAGTTATATAGATTTGAAAAATAGATATTTAAAAAATATTTTTGGATATACAGGGTATTGCGTTTTTCCTGGCAAATAAAAATGTATGTATTTTATTTTATTTTTAGAATATTTTAGTAATACTGTATTCAATCCTAGAATATTTTTATAAAATATTACAGTATTGCCAAGCATTATTTTTTTTGAAATTAGAGAATGATGCTGACCGCAAATTAAATTATCATAATTTAGGTAGGTTTACATTGATCTCAAAATTGTTTAATATACAGACTTATAAGATACTAAGCTAACGAATAGTGGAGATGGAGCTGATACTCGTATCTTATTGCACATATTGTTAGCCAAAAATTCGGAACATTCATGCTGCATTATTTATTGCAACGATACAGATGTTCTAGTCTTAAAAATTTATTTCAAGAAGTATTTGACTAAAGAGATATGGTTCAGAACAGGGCGAAGAGACTCAAGACGATTTCTAGCAGTACATGATTTAAATTTGGATGGTATCTTCTAAAAAATTTGCCTGCTTTTCTTTCTCTGACCGGTTATGATACAACCAGCCAATAGTCTGGCATTGGGAAAAGAAAACATATTCTCTAATCTTGAAAAATGTTTCATAAAAATGTATTCAAAAACTGCCAGTGTTACTTCCATTAACATTTTGAGGGGATTAATGGCCTCTTTAAAAACCATTGCTAAATTGCCACCGACTGAAGACGACCTAAGATAACATTGTTTAAGATGTTTTTACCAGCTAAATATTTGGCTACGCTCTTTAAAGCCGCAGATGCAGCTTCCTAATGTTAAAGAGTATGAATAGAAAGTAGATCAAGATGGAAGGCTGATACCCACTCTAAGACTCTGTCCGACCTGCCACCAGACATAACAGAACTTACATCATGCAAATGCAAAAAAGGTACTATACACCGATAATGTTCATAGATGTACAATTTTCTAATAATATTATTCTGTTCTAGACTAAGAAAGCAAAATTTGTAAATGCAGGAAAAAAATATTGGTTGTATCGGTTCCTGCACCTACCTGTATGGCACAGAAAAACTGCAGCAAAAGTTTGATCACAGCCGCTAATGTTTTGGAAAATGTTGATTCGTGTGGTGAATCTGATTCTGATTAGTTTAAAAGTCTTGTACTTATAAATTTTAATAATATTAATTTATGCTTTATACCGGGTGTTCAAATTAAAGTGTTACAGCTAAATACCGCCTATTATAAAAAAAAAACGTTTCAGACGAAAGTTTTATAGTTTTGTGGGGAAAAATTTTTGCTAAAATCGTTTTTTTTTAGCTAACCATAATATGGCCAACTTTTTTTTCGCCTACCAAAATTTTTAAGTAGCTGTTACTCAAAAAGTGAAAGTCGAATAAGAAAATTATTTCCATCTAAAGTTTCTTATTTTTTTATGTACTTTAAGAATATTTACAAGAAAAATGGGGTTCCCATTTAAAAAAACAAAGTCCACCTCGATATGGCCATATTATGATCAGCTATAAAAAAAAAATTTTAGCCAAAATGTTTCCCCCAAAAAACTATAAAACTTTCG